CTCTTCTGATATCTTGGAGGAAAGAGTGTAACATTTCAGAAGAGAAAGTGGCACTCTTTTTTAAGTCGTAAGTCAGTTGGTCTTTTTTTTTTATGTTTATGCTGATTTTACTTGCCGTGGGTAGCTAGTCTTACCATTTTATTCAGTCTAAACATATTTTAATACTCATCTTTTATTTTTATTATTGTTATTTTATGAATCTTCATTCTATATTTCTTCCTTGTGTTTTACTTCATTTTAAAATTATAATTTTTATGCTGTAAATTTGAGAAAAAGATCCGTTAAGGTTTGTGCTTGCCACAGCTGAAGGCATTGTTTTCTTCACAGTGCAGATCCAGATATTTAATACAGATGATAATTAGTCATCATGTTAGGTAGGGTCAACAAGTCTCCTAAGTGGATTGCCTCTTGTGTACCGGGTGTGAAATGCAGCTTGATGAGAGGGGGTGTACTGTAATCGCAGGGTCCACCATTGCTTTTTTGCAATGTCAGTACAACCATCTTGATTACAGTAGAAAATGCATGGTGTAATTGTTTGTGTAAAACGAGTGTATGGACATGTAAACTGTGTTGTGGTTTTGAGGAACCGTGTTTGTCAATAGGATATTTGTATTTTGACTTCAAGGGCCTTCCACAAAGTAAAACAGAATTTGTATTTGATTATGATAAATCACAACTTAGTTTTTTTAAATATTTTATGAGCAACCCTGTGTGCATGTGTGTGTTAGCATGTGTGTGTGTAATTGAGTGTGTATGTGAATGTGTATGCATAGTCTGCATCTGTATGTGTAAACCTTTCTGACATTGCTACAATTGTTGTGTGACTGATAGGCTGACTTTGAAATACTCAGTAAAACTTAGTATGAATTTATGAATTGCTCTAAAGAAGGCTTGTTCTTGAGAACTGGTGCTAGAGAAAGAAATAATTATTTGCTTTCATTGTAAAAGTAGTCATTACAGCTGGGCACCTGCTACAGTCCTTTAAGCAGATCTGTGAGTAAATTATGGTTGGAAAGATCACTCAAGGGATCAAGGTCACCTCATGATCTTGTGTGTTTATCATGATGCCTTAGGTTTTGAATGATGACTTCACAAACACCTAGAAAGGCATTCACTTCTCATTATAGTGATCATAATTAAATGTACTGATGTTTTGAAGAACAAGAAGTTGAGTTTTCATTTTGCAAGAGGGAGAAGGTGCAAAAACAACAACTTTTGTAAATAGTTACGGATTTTACTTGAAAGAGAAGTTGGGAGACTAGGATAAAATAAATTGTATTAGACTAAGTACCATCTAGTCATATAAGCATCAATTAATTGTAAGAAATGGATGGGTTTAATTTTCAATTTTATTTTGTGAGTTTGCTTTAATTATTGCCATTACTAATATATTTACTGTATTTCTATGATTATTTATATATATATTACTTTTCTCTTATTTCAAAAAAAAGAACTTTTAATCAAGAAAAATAAATGATTGGTCATATATAACACAAGGTTATAATGTCAGTGGATATTTCTTTTTTGAAAGAAATTGTAAAAATAAGATGATTTGGAAAGACTGACCATGAGCATTGTAATTATTGAATCTATGACCTGCAATAGGCCATTCTGAGGTATGGGTTGTACCCATTATGATAGCACATTATTGACCAGGGTCAGTTTGACATGGATACCACTTCATTGTGTAGGTCTTGGGAATATTTGCTGCTGTACAGTTAGTGAAATGTGAACACTGTAGAAACTGCTTTCCATTAACTAGTTAGTAATGAGATTTTAGCATTGTTGTGCATCATTGTAAAATGTGTTTTGTATAGTATTTTATTGCAAATCTGAGACAGATTTCACTGTCTTTTTTCTAATTCTTGTTTTTAATTAAAACAAATACTTCACATAGCGCACATGTGAAACTTACCTTTTGTTTGGATTTCAATATTTCCATCATATTTCAGTCCTTACAGCTGCTGATCCCAGTGTTGTAGACAATGCTAAGTTGATACAAAATTGGGGAAATGGAACTTGCTTTGTCATTATGGTGAGAATGATCTAATGTCATGTCCTGTGAGCATAAAATATTTGATAGATAATTTTATATCTTCCTTTAAAGATCTGTCATTAATAATCATTTCGCATTGAGTGTGTGACTGTGCATGTGTATTCACATAGACATGTGTATACCATGCATTTCATGTATGTGTATATGTATGTCTATGTACCTGTGTGTGTCTAGGAATGCATTGCTGAAGAGATGAGATGCATATTACAAGAGAGTGGGGTGGGTGGATGTATTTCTACCACCACACTTATAAAGGATTTTGTTGTACACATTTTTATATCAAATTATCCCTGTGTAGCTCCTCCTCCAAACTGATATATTGCTTCCTTCTTTTGATTTGAACTTGTTTTAACTGCATTTTTGGTTTAATATCAATAATGATATAGTCATGTACAAATGAGTGAGAAAGCAGTTGTACATAATGTCTGTATGTATATATGGATGTGTATTGGCACTGCAAACATTGGATGTTTTAAAAGTTTTTTGATGTTTGTATGGATGAAGTATGGTGTGTATGTGCAGATCATCGCATATTGTTACTCTAGATTTTGTTATTTCATGTGTGTTTTTATGCCTGTGCATATCATATGTTGTTGAATTGTAAAACAATGCTTGATTATAAAACTTGATTACTTTTCACTTCAGGGATACTGATGCAAATATTAGGCAAGTTCATGATAGATCATCCCAGCCTGGACACATTTAGATCCTGTGACAAATTTGTGAACCCAAGCTGTGTTGTCGGAGGTTATGGTTTCATACAGCCAGTTTTGAATCAATTATCACTAATTTCTATCGACAAAATTACCAGTGATAAAGATGACGAGCTCTGTCTATGATGTGATTCTTTATGACTAAGATGTTTTTTTGATGATAGAATTTAGACACTTTAGGAACTGTTTGTCATTGTATTTCACTTCTACCTCTGTGGCCAGTGATGGTTGCTGGCAAAGGAAAACATTTGAGCTGAGAATGTCAATGTTTGTCAAGTATTTATGGAGAAGTTTCTAGGAGTGGCCACTTGTGTCGGGTCAGCTTCGGTAAACTTCTGGAGAAATCAGAAAGAAGTATGTTTTCTTCACATTACCTTGAAAGTATTGGATACACAAATTGATAAATAAAGTATTGAATACAAACTATAGGTCAATCTAGAAACTTTTTAGATAAATTAAATGGTATATTTTTTACTTTGTTTAGAAATACTCTGTGATCTTTATTATATGAAGGAGAAATTTTTGAGATGGATAATATATGGTATTATTATTACTTTGTTTAGATATATGATGGGTTCTCTGATCTTTATTTATGTTGAGAGATACCGAACGAGATGAGTGCAGTAGCTCTTCTGACTGTGCGGTGGACGATGCTAGGTAACTACTATTGCAGTGTTATGCCTGTTGCTCTGCTTTGTAACGGAGAGGGATTTTCATAGAATTATTGGTTATGTGTTGAAGGAGTGTTGGCATGGTAGCGTGTGTCAGAGATGTGTGAAACCTAGGTGTAAGAGGATAGACTGATGTCGTGCGCAATAGGCGAAAAAAAAATGCTAGCGCCGCAAGCAACACAAGACAATCTACGACACGGACGTTCAGCTGCAAGACGATCTAGCATGAGTGCGACTACCACAACAGGCAGACAATGCCTAACGCCGTGAGGCGTGCTGCACACACACACAACACAACACACGACAACACACACTACAGGGCACACACACCAAACCCACACAACTCGACTCCAGCAACAACATCAAAACACACAGGATAGCAACGACAACACTAACGGTAACGGGTACACGCACACGAAGTTTGTTTGAGAACAGAACAACCTACAGACACACACAAGACAAACGACGTGGAAAGTAGTGGTCGCACACTGTACGGTAACAGAACGTGATAACGTAAATACGCAATTGCCGAGTTACAAAATACAGCACAAACCCGAGTTCAAAACACAACCTAAGTGCATAGGAAACACAGCGAACGATAAACAATAACTCCGCACCACGCGAAATATCATGACGAAGCGATAGCTTAAGCTACGCACGTCGCGCTGCATCACCACATACCACGGACACAGACAACAGTGATGGTCGCAACGACCACTACAGGCCACAAACAAACTACAGGCAACACAACAAGCAAGACAAAATACATGCGCCACGCACTACAACGACAGGAGATCAACGAAGGCTGATAGCGGGCGGATGCGCAGGGTGTGGAGACAGGCACGAGAACGCGCAAGGATCCCAGCTACATGCATGAGGTCAGTACAGCGGACAGGGGAAATGGGCGAGGTGAAGGTGGGTGGTGTCGGTTAAGGAGAAAAAGTGTGGATGGTCGGCGAGGTGTGGCGGAACTTAGGTGGAGGTTGAGTGGTTCTTGATCGTCCGGCAGAGGCACGAGATGGGCTATGCAGTGACGTCAAAGCTGATAATGTCGATGTCGACAACCAACTTCCATTAGGGCTAGAGCGGACTGGGCAGTGGGGGACGTATGTGATTCAGCGGCAATCGCGACTTGGGTGAATCACTCAAGGCATAATACATAACGCAGCAGTCTCATTCTCTTGTTTTCTCTTTTTCATCTTTTACTCTTTTCTGGCTTTCTCTTCTCCTATCACTGTCCCTCTTACCTATATATTACTAGCAAATCTAACCTTTCTCTCTATCTTTATTTCTGTTTCTCTTTCATAGCTCTTCTCCCTAAAAAGATCCCTCTGAAATTTTTAACAGAGTCAACACACACATATCATTTGCTATATGGCTGT